TGAGCAGAACCAGCAGGCTGGCTTTGCAGTGTCCCGGGCTTGGAAGGAGGATTGCGGATAAGAAGCTGCTTCCTGGCCTCCGCTGCCAGCTGGTAGTGGGAGGAAGTTGAATTTCCCAAGTTGTGTAATGCTTATTGCTGCTCAAACCAGTTACGTGCTTGCCACTCAAACCTTACACGTTCCAGACTAGTGGTGCGGATTCTCCAGGCCGTACTTGCGACTTTCCCACATACTGCAAAGTTGCTGCTCTCATTACTCATCATCGCCTCTTTCACAAGGCTAACTCCAAGCACAGGCCATGTCTTAGGTATTGCTGTTAGAACAAACAATCTGGGTCCCACCTTTCATAATTCCGTATTGGACAAGATCCCTGGGTCATGTACATTGAAAAGGCCCTGCAGAGCAACAGCTGAAAGTACCGGATGATGCAAGAGAGGAAAGTCTGATTTTTCCCTGGCTCCCAGCGGGTGCTTCTCCAGCCACACTTCCTCCAAGTCACCGCCTCCACCAGCTTCCACAACACTGAAGAGGAAGCTGCCTCTTCTCCAGTTTCCTGCATCAGCAAATAGTACTTGAATGGGGCATTTCAATACTTTGCTGATGAAGCTATTTTTGTTAAATAGTAGTTGAGAGGCAGACAGCTGAGTCCACGTGGAAGCATTAAGAAGGCAGACGGGACCTAAATCCAGCAGGATTTAGACTCACAGAACAGAGTCAGCGGCACAAGCAAGTCCTGCACCAGGAAAGACTTTGGAGGAAAGAGCTGAAGTTCCTGAAATCCTCTGAAGATAAAGAACAGCGATATTTAAGTGCAATTTATGAGACTATGAATGATGAAGGGCCATATATAAACAGCAGCAGCAGAAAGGAACTTGAGCTTTAACCAGAATTATTTTTGACAGGGAAGTGTGTACCTCTAATCATAAGATTTTATTTATTTATGCATACAGAACTGGGGTACAGACCAGAGGTGCAGGGGGTGGTGAGAGGATTCACCAGAGACAGAGTGGGGAGCAGGACAGGCAGACTGACAAAGTACACTGCTGAGGGGAGCAGCGGGCGAGACAGGGGAGGTCTGTTGTGCCATGTGGGTCACCTCCAGGGCAGGGATCGAACTTGCACTAAAGCGTCCATGGCTTGACTTAGCTTCACAGTGCAGCACTCCAATCCACTGCGCCACCAGGGAGGGCACTAATCAATTATTTTTTAAAAGTCAGAGGAAGTAGTCATGGAGATAGAAAATGGTCAAGCTAATAGCTTTGGAAAAGGCCCCTCAGGATACACTCCATAGTATCTAAGTTTAGAGCAATAGATTACAGTAGTAAGTATATAAAAGGACAGATAGATGGAAAGCAAATCAGAAAGGAAATTGATACAGCCCAAGTTCATGTGTGTTTGGTATTTGTTTTGAAAGGATTGGCCCTATATAAACTGAAGAAGTTAGCCATATCTCCAGTGTCTTATATTCATTCTTCAATCCAAAATAACCACAAAGTGGCAAATTGTTAACAGTTAAGGATATTTGTTTACTATATATGACTATCCATATTCCATCAGGCACAGTAAGGCAAAGATTAGAGAAATGGCCCATGAATGATTTATAGCATCTTTTTACTCATTTCTTGGGAAACAGATTTTAGAGAATCTAAGGAATATCTTAGTTTACTCTGGAATATGGTTTATGTGGATTTATTTATGTTTATGTGGATTTGTTTGATTTTAATGAAACCTAAAAATAAATAATTTCTTTTCAGAATCAAACCAAGTAAGTAGAACTCGAATTAGGAAAATGTAAATGAGTATGTATATAGTGGGAAAGGATAAGGACTTAAAAAGAGAGGGGAAATGTCTGCATAAGAAAAGCAGAAAAGGCCCTCCCTGGTGGCACAGTGGGTTAAGGCACCACTAAGAAGTTAAAGCAGCTTCTGCTTGAGTTCGATCCCCACCCCGGAGGTGACCCACGTGGCACGGCAGAACTCTCCTCACCTGCCTGCAGCTCCCCTCAGCAGTGCACTTCGTTGATCTGCCTGTTCTGCTCCCTACTCTGTCTCTGATGAATCCTCTCACTGCTCCTGTACCTCTGGCCTGTACCCCAATTCTGTGTGCATAAATAAATAAATCTTAAAAAAAAAAGAAAAGAAAAGCAGAAAAGTCAGCTTTATTCTAGAGATTTACAAGACAAAGCAAAGGCCGGTCTTTACTCACTTGTCTGAACACCTAATTCCTAATATGTGCTAGCTAGTTTTGATGGTCACTAGAGACCCTACAGGGAGAACACTTGCAACCCAATTTTCTGGAATGATGGAAATGTTCTATTCCATCTATTTTTTTTCCATTTTGTTAAAAATATTTATTTTAAAAAATACAGTTGTCATATCTAGTTGCACATTATTAACACAGCTATATAGTTTTGAACTTCAGTAAATTGCTGTAGGACTTTATCTTAAAGTCAGCTTGCAATTATACAAATTATACAAATTGCAATTATACAAATTCTTCTGTCAGTTCTTACATAAAATAGGTTTTTAACATTACCATCTTTCTATGATGTTGTTCAAGCCACTGTGCATGTGGCTACTGAGAACCTTCAAAGTGTTGAGTGCAACCAAAGGATTGAACTTTAAAGCGGACTCAATGTTGACTCACTTAAATATAAGTAGCCACAGGTAGTGGTCTGTTAGCACAAGTCCAGAATATCACACTGTGATTCATTTCAAAGCCTGGCTTTAAGACTTTATCAAGTGGGCCCTGCCTGGTGCCACAAAGCATTGCAAGTGAGCTGCAGCCGCTTCAGTGTGAGTGCGATCCCCCACCCTGAAGGTGATCCACATGGTGCAACAGACCTCTCCTGTCTTGCCCGCTGCTCCCCTTAGCAGTGAATTTCAGCAGATATGCCGGTTCTGCTCCCCACTGTGTCTCTAGTGAATCCTCTCACCTCCCCTGCACCTCTCACTTATACCCCAGTTCTGTATGCATAAATAAATACATTTTAAAAAAAAAACTTTATCAAGCAATTCATTTATGTTGAACAGATTTTTCATACAGGAGTCAAGTTAACCAGACGCAGCTCTCACTGCCTGCCAGATGGCACGCTTACCGTGGTCAGAATGATCTGACTCATGGTAAGTTTCCTTCTCTTGGCTAGGTCAGAAGTTTCAGGATGAGTGCACTAGGCCTGCCTCATTCACCTCTATCCTGGTCTTGGAACAAGCCCTCCATGCTAAGCACTCTTAACACTCAATTGTTGACTAATATTACATATTCACTTTGCTTTGAATAGCTGAGTCTCGCTTTAATTTTTTTTTTAATTGAGGAAACACTGGTTTACAATACTGTGTGATTTGGAGGTGCAAGATAACACCCTTCAGATGTATATCACCATACCACACTATCCGCCAAGGCCCCCATATTCTGTCTATTCAACCCCCTTCCTGATCTGCTCCGCTACCCCCTCTGAGACTCACTTTAAAAATCATTTCCAAGGTGCACAGATCAACAGTGTTCTTGGTAGCTGACCTAATATTTCCCCACTTTAGTTTCCTCCTACCCATTACTCACACCAAAGTAAACAATTACCTCTGGCCACAAGATTTACATATTCATGATTGCGTGTTATAAAAAACTCAATTATTTCATGATTTCCTTAAAGTGAGTCACATCTAAACTATCATTTCTGCCTTTTAGCCTTCCTTGAAAAATAAATCAAGCTCTCCTGCCCTACTTAGCTGAACACAGATCCCAGTTACAGACTGGTTAGGAATGATCTACATCTTTCTCACTATTTTGCTTACAATCCACATATATTACATATATATTGACACACATTATTGATATTGAGCTTCCTATTATCCAACTAATTCTACCTTTAAAGTCATGAGATTGGGGTGGTAGGAAAGAATTGGATTAGAATTCTACTGTTCCTGACTTTTTCATTTTAAGATTTATTTATTTATACATATAAATTCTGGGGTACAGGGCAGAAGTGTGGGGGTGGTGAGAGGATTCACCAGAGACAGAGTGGAGAATAGAGCAGCACTGCTTGAAATACACTGCTGAGGGGAGCAGCGGGTGAGACAGGAGACTTCTGCTGTGCCATGTGGGTCAGTTCCCTGGCCGGGGATTGAACTCAAGCTACACTGGCTATGGATAGTTTCATAGTGCTGCGCTTAATCCCTCGCACCACCAGGGAGTCCTGATTCCTGCTTTTTAGTTATGTGCTCCTGAACAAATTGCTTAAACCCTGTGGGCCTCTGCATTTGTGGAAAGGATCCAATAATAAACTATGAAAGCAAGCAGAAAGAGGTCTAGAGCACAGTAGGTATGCTGTTTTTGGTGAATGAATAACCTATTTCATCTCTGTCTTGGGACCTCTTTTACAGGCTTATAAACTCCCTGAGAATGAGCAATAGTTCACTAAGTTCCCACTTAAAGAAAGCAGGATCTGAAGATTAAAAGCCACATTAAGGCAAGTACAGATCATGGATTGAACAAAGGAAAGAGATAAATCAGCCTTAAGAAAATGGCAGAACAAACTCAAAAACCACATTTGTGAGGCTTGCTAAAGGTCAAATGAAAAGTATTTCTCTACACTTTGGAAATGGCTCAATTCAGCTTAGCTTGGTAAATCATCATAGTTTATAAAATCTACTGTGGCTAAGCTGACTTCTATCGTGCAAGTACTGTCTTTAACAGATTCAAATCACAAGGCCACTCACTCTTCAGTCTCCAAACCTTACAATTAATAAATTTGATTCCTAGCACATTAGTGTATTCTAAAGCTTCTTCAACGCTGAGATAGCATCTTAAAATAGAATGGAGGTAAATAACAGCTTTAACAGTTTGTATGATGAATCCAAAGTTAGACAGCAGTAAACAATGCTTTTAAAATCTAGCCTTTGTATTTTGTTTCTAGACTCCCTGGTAGGAAAATACACAAGGAGACAAGACCCCAGTAAATCATGTCAGCAGAAAAGAAGGCAAATAGTGGCACTCATCCATACCTCGGCTTCCTGCAGGGTCCCATGGTTTAGGCACACCATATCAGGGCAGGTGATAGGAGACCCACAGCCCTCTCGGATTGCCAACTGCATGTACTGTTTCAAGCACTGGAAGTTAAGAAGAAACAAGACAATTACCCATTGCATCCAACTAGTACAGTGATTACATAACAAAGCACCACTGGCTCTTCTTCCTTAATTGGTAGTGCTTGGGGTTCTTGTACTCAGGAAACATAAGTTATCACAAGTGTGAATACTGAGAGCCATCACTTTGGAAAGAATGCAGAGACAGACGATTAATTATGTATGACTCCAGCCTAAGAAGACTGGGTTTATTCCAGGCAATAAGTCAAATTCCTGTATATGCACACATTTTATCCACCATAAATTGGGAAAAGAAACTCTTATACTTAATGGCACTACACAGATGAATCTCAAGCTTTTTTGTTTGCTTGAGATCCATTTTTAACTTTTTTTAATGTTTTTAATTTTTACAACATTCATTTTTGTGCAATGCATGCTTTTTTCATCTCAGTTGCAATCCCCGTGGATGTCCCTCCACCAGCTCACCCATGTGCCATCACCATAGTCCCGTGTGCTCTTCCCAGCCCTGTTTTGACCCAGGAGTGTAAGAGATCAGGGGAAAAAAAGTAATTGTAAGAAAGTAAAAACTAAAATAAACAAACAACTATAAACCAGAGACCTTCTACCATGGGATGAGCGGAATAAGAGCAAAAGTCTTCTTTCTTTCCTTTTTTTTTTTTTTCAATTTACATGACTTTCCAGTTTCATTTTTACCTAGTAGTCCTCTTATCTCAAAGCTTACCTAAAAATAGTGTTTTTGGGCTTCTTTAAATACATACACACCTGGAAAAAGTACTGTCCAGTTGGGAAAAGCCAAGTGACAGCCTGCTGACTGTAAGAACAATTTGGGAGGTGACCTTTCCCAAATGACAGATGTTAGCGGATGTTATGACGAGGAGGTCTGAGTCGAAAAGGAAATGGCCACATGGACAAAGAAGAAATTGGAGAGGGATAAAAAGAAACTCAGAAAAGAGGGAGAAGGAGAACCCAAGGACAAACTTGGTCCACACGTTGCCCATTGCGGCTGGATCTTGGGGAGAGAAAAGAGGTATATGAATGAGAGGAGAGAGAAGGATAATATTAGGGAGACCTCTAGCTCCTCCTTTCAACCTGTCTCCACATACATTAAATTGAAGGTAGAAAATAAAACTTGAAAAAGTCCAAAAGTTGGCTCCTCGATTTCTACTAATTTCTTATCATCAGTTAGCTTTTTCCTTAGGATTGATGAAAATACTCCAGTTCAAATGGCTGAGTTAAATAACCCAGAAGATACAAATTGGCCAATATTTAGGGACTCTTAGGAAGTGGTGGTTACTTACAATTTTATTTGGATTTTCCAAATTTAGATACCTACCACCTGCAGTATTAAAAATATTATCACTGTACCAAATTTTTATAAGTTTAGCTTTAAATAAATTATATGGCCAGAATACCAATGGCATACTTGTAAAATCTATTTTCATTGATCAGTTTCATTTCCCCATCTAAAAATAAAACTAACATCATGTTTATATTATTTCCGAAAAATAATCATTTCTTTGATTGAAATTCTGCTATTATGTACTAATGAAACAATGCCTAGGGCAACCCACTGAAACCAGTTTTGTTATTTCAATAACAAAATAATAACAAAAGTCAATAATTCTCATCTCATAGAGTCCATTTTAAAAATAATTTTATCAAGGTTTGCAACACTTTCGGGTAAATAGCTTCACACTTAACAAATGTACATACCCACATTACACATGCATTACCTAGTTAACCCCCTCTACCTGGTTTAACTTCTCACCTCCACCTGCTTCATCTTTAGTAACCACCACTCAGAATTTGTTTGTTTGGTTGCATTTTACCTGTTCCTTTGTTTTGTTTCTTTATATTCTACCTATGAGTGAAATCATACTGCATTCTTTCTCCTTCTGACCTATTTTACTTAGCATAATCCCATTAAAATCCATCCATGTTGTCACAAAAGGCAAGATTTTGACATATTTATCCATTTTTTATAATGTTCACCACAGACAAAAAAAAAAAAACTTTAGAAAATAACCAAAATATCCCATATAGAACTTAAAGTATGCCAAATTTGTACAGTGGAGTGATGAAGAATCATGAAAAATGGATTCTAATGACAAAACTAAAGGACAAGCTCTAAAGTCTTTTCTGCATCATGGGCAAGTCATTAATCATCCTAGTGACAGCATTCTCAATTATAAAATGAGACAAAACCACATGTCGCCTTCTCTCAGGGAACCGGAGAGTCTTCTGTGAGGGTTTATACAGGAAAGAACAATGGGAGAGTGAAGAGAGGTATGGAAAAGAGAAGGGTAGTTATGAACAGATGTTTCTAAATTGTAGGCAGGCATGCAGAAATGCACAAACAGGTGTGATACCTGTGTCAGGTAGGGTGGGGAGGGGAGGTAAGGCGAAAATAGGTATCGTTGGGGTGAAGTTGGTAACCATATGTGCCAATTAGTCCAGAGATGAAATGGATCACTAGGATCTTGGATGCTTCTAGATACAGGTGATGGGTTTCTGATATCAAAGAAGACAGCCTCGTTGGCTTCAAGTGGAGTTGGTGAACTGTGGACCTAGGTTATCTCATCCTTAGCTTAGGGGGAAATAGTTAATGACCAAAAAGACTTCTATAGGTCTTGAGGATCTGGTTTACTGGCATCATTCCTGGTACAATGCTAGACACTATAATGGACACTTAATAATGCAGAACAACACTGCTCCACCTTAGTGCATAACTACATCACAATGTCTCAAGTGTGCCTAAGTAATATCTTATGTTGAGGCCAATATTCTGTTTGTGCAGGTGAACAATGAATAAAGTCTTCTTTGTTGGATGTGGTTGAGTTAAATTATTAGTACAATTCAAGATGATTTCTCCCAATGCAAAATGCCAAAGAATTCTGATTTGGAAAGACATTTAATGATTTGGGGGAAAAGATTGTATAAATCAATAATCTATAGCTGGACAGTAAGTTGTTTTCTAGTCTGGTATGATCTAAGAATTTTTTCATGAGGTGTTTACAGTGCTGTATATGATTCAAAAGTCTAAGTTCACATCTCTTCACATGTCCTACAATATGACATCTACCACCAGGGTACCCACAGTCCTCCACCATAGTCCATTGGTTTCCTTCCCTCTTCCCTCTCCCCCCTTTTCCATTCCACCTCTCATCTTCTTAATTTTATGGTCAGATTTCCAGGGTTTGTTTCTGATTTGGCTTTGTCTAATCCTTCATTGTGTTTCTCCACATGCCACAAATGAATGAAACCATCTGGTATTTCTCTTTCTCCTTCTAGCTTATTTTACTTAGCATTATCCCCTCCAATTTTATCCAGGTTGTCTCAAATGGCAAGAGTTCATAGTCTTTTTGTTTTTATACAACTGAGTATTACTCTACTGTGTGTGTGTGTGTGTGTGTGTGTGTGTGTGTGTGTGTGTGAGAGAGAGAGAGAGAGAGAGAGAGAGAGAGACATCTTAATCCACTCACCTGCGGTTTGGCCTTACACTGTTTCCATAACTTGGCCATTGCAAATAGTGTTACAATCTATATAGGAATGCATATATCCCTCTGAATTCATGTTTTTGTATTCTTTGGATAGATACCTAAGAGTGTAATTGCTGGATGATATCCTAGAGCTATGTTTAATATTTTGAGAAACATGTATGCTCTTTTCCAGGGCCCAGACCAGTCTGCATTCCCACCAACAGTATAAAAGAATTGGTCTCTTTTCTTCCCCCATGCTACCAGCTGTTGTTTCTGGCCTTTTTGATATGGGCTATTCTCACTGGTGTAAGATGGTATCTCAGTGTTTTGATTTGCATTTCCCTTATGGTAAGTGATGATGAACATGTTCTCGAGACTGTTGGCATCTGTATGTCGTTTTTGGGAAATTGTCTATTTAGCTCTTTTACCCACTTTGGGTTTCTTTGTTGTTGTTATTGATTTATATGAGTTATTTGTAGATCTTGGACATTAGCCCCTGTCAAATGTGTGATATGCAAATATTTTCTCCCTTTTTTTTTTAATTTTTTTCACTGTACAGACACTTTCTAGTTTGGTGTGGTTCCACTCTTTGTTTATTTTGCTTTCATTTTCCTTGCTGTTAAAGAGTCGAGTCCTCAAAGACACCCACGATGTCCTAAAAGGTTTGCCTCTATTTTTTTTCTATGCATTTTATGGCTTCTAAGTCTTACATCCAAGTCTTTAATCCATTTGAGTTAGTTTTTGTACATAATGTAAGATTATGGTTTCATTTCATTCTTTTGCACATAACTGTCCAGTTTTTTCAACACCATTTATTGAAGAGACTTTCCTTTCACCAGTATATGCTCTTGGCTCCTCTGTTTTCGATTAACGATCCATACATGTGTGGGTTTACTTCCGGGCTCTCAATTCTATTCTTTTGGCCTGTGTGTCTATTTTTTTGAACCTAAACTTTTTTTTTTTTAACAAAACTCCTTCCTGAAACCTTGGCTTTTTAACAAATATGGTATTATAGATAAGGATCACCTTCATAACACTTTGCTAACCACAGAATACATCAGGGGACTGAAAAAAAAAAATCTGGCACCAGATGATTTAAAAACGGCTTTAAAAAGTGATAAGTATAATTAAAAAGAGACCTGGGTTTTACAGTTCTCATTTACAGTTTAATCTTTAAGCTTTTCTTATTCAAAAAAGACACTCTTGCCTTATTCCCAACTCTAGCTTGATGCTTAGACTATCTGCTCTCAGAGCACCCCAATACCCAGCTAGTCCAGGGCTTTTCTTTCTATTTTAGTAATATCAGTTGATAACATTGTAGGTTTCCAGTTCATACCTCATCAAATGAATGTTGTTGCACCATCACCACAATACCAATAACCTTCCAGCACATTCCACTAGACCCCTCCACCCTTTGTAACCCAGTCCCCACTATGGTAACCTAAGCTCTTCAGTGCAATCCCAAGTTTGTTTTGGTTTGATTTTGTCTGTTCCTGTGCTTGATTTTGTATATTCCACAAAAGA